GTCTTGTTGTTGAGTCCCAGAGCCTGAACCACGTCCACACTGAGGCCGCTCTTCAGAGTCCTCCTCACTGAAACACACAGAAACAACGTCAGCATTACAGGAAGCTGGGGCTCAATTTTCTTCTTCGTGGATTTTGATTCTTTTCACAAAACTCTTCAGAAAATCTTCAGCCCAAAAATAAAAAGTTAAAAACGTCTCCTGCCTCAAACTCATTTCTTTGTGTCTTTGGGGCTTTAGCGTCTTAGAACAGACCAAAGAGGAGGCACGGGTGGACCAGCGACTCCCAGCTTCTGCCTGATAACAACTATTTTACTTGGAAGAAGATAAAAAACCTAAAAGCCATTTATCTCCTCCTAGAAGAGAACGCTTGAGGAACTCGTTCCTAACACGTCTTTCTGTGCTATTTCACACATATTTCTCTATTATACCATCTTTCAGCCTTTTTCTCAGATTTATAGTGTAAATGTACTAATTACTCATGTAATCTGCACTAGTTTCTTGCACAGTGTCAGTCTTAGTCATGTAAATGTAAATAATCATCATCATCATCATCTCTTCGAATCTGAGAAGCCAGAAGCTGCAGATTTGTGCGTCTTTTGCTTTAAAACACCTCGTGAAGGTCAAACACTCCAAAAATGTTCCAATCAAAGATTTCAGTTTATCGCACTGCCGCCAAGTTACTTAGAAACGAGTCTGCAGCCTGCGAGCAGCAGTTCATCGTGTCCTGCGCTCAGCAGTAGGATGATGATGATGATGATTATCTGCTGCTGTGGACAGATTTACTGAGGAAGTGCAAACAGTGATATGAAGCTGCACAGATATCAGCTTGTTTTGGACACACAGCTGCTGTTGTGTCTCCGCGCAGTCTGAACCAGACTGAAGCTCAGAGGACTCGACCTTCAGCAGGACGGGTCCCTAAAAAAGTGACTAAAGTAAAACGAAAAGAAGCTTTGAAGAATTCTCAAAAGCAAAAATTTAAATATGAGTGAAACCGTCTTCAGCTGTTTGACCAGAATCATAAAATTCACTAAAATTAAATAATAAACGTGAAAGATTTAAAAAAAGAAATCTGGTTTTTCTTCCGGGTGCCCCTCAGCAGGCTTCTGAAAGTTAGCCAGTTAGAAGAAAGCACGTATGGAGGCGGAGCTTAAAGAGACAGGCACTCAGTTCAGACAGATGATGAACTACATGAGACTTATTTAAACAAAAATGCTGATTTTAAGCTAATAGACTGCTTTTGCAGAAATGCACCCTGGGAGTTGAAGTCACGTAAAGCCTCGACTACTCTGTTAGGGACGCGGGACGGCTGGAGACCCGAAGGCTCAGCAAAGCCAACACAGCCTAAACGCTCCGCCCACAAGTCTGCAAGGTCACAAAAAATTAGGCAAGTCCTCGCACTCACCATCTGATGACGTCACAGCGAATCAATATTAAGTAAATTCATACTCACGTGACTTCCTATTCAGTCGGGACCGCTTGCGGTTCTTGGGGCTGGACGACCTGCCGGAGGGATTCTGGGTAACAGACTTGACGAGTCTGTCCATGATCTCATCTGTGGCGTCGTCCTGGGAGCTCGTCTCGTCGTCTTTGGCTAAAGACATCTTGGTCGGCTCCACCCTGCCGAGACCTGAGGACCAGAACCGGAACATTAGCCAC